GTCGGTTGTACAAAATTTTTAATTTTACCGTTTATTATACTATTGTTGCTAGTCCATTGACAATCTAGTAAAAATAATACATCTAATATTACGGTTGTACTGTGTCCATTTTAGTCCGTCCGTTCATCCATTACAGCCTCAAAAGTCCATCACTGAAAATAGGATTCCCTCATAGGGGGGATTTTTGACACGCTTGGCGCAATCGTAGTGGAATTTTTATAGGCTGTAAAAAATTTATGGATGATGTGGCAAAAACATTACGCCCATCACCACGATCGCTGGCGTTTAGCAACATTGTAAATCTACTCAAATAAATAAAAATGAAGTGTCTGTTTGTAATGTCAAAATAACAGCTTTTTATTAAATACATATGAAAGTTTATACGGTACTTATAACAAAAACACAATTTCTAAAATTTTTGTCTGTCTGTCTGTCTGTCTGTGTGTTTGTTCCGGCTAAGCGCCGAAACGGCTGGATCGATTTTGATAGGACTTTCACTTAGGCTATTTTTATTAACGAAAAAATATTAGGATTCCGCGCAAAAAAAATGAAAACCCATAAAATCTAATCGTAATAGATTCCACGCAGGCGAAATCACTGGAAACAGCTAGTCTACAATAAATCACGCTAATCTCATCTTTCAGCTACCTTCGCGAATCTAATCTAAAGAATTAATCGTTAATTTGTATCGAAAGAATTTCGTAATCTGTTACCTCCTGGGATATTTAACAGACATTATAGATGCTTATTGTTAATCTTTTAATACTTCTACTATACTATATACTAATCAATTTGATGTTTGTGTTAATATTATAGTATAGCATAAGCATAAGGGTGACAAACGAGCACACAGTCCACCTGATGGTAAGTGGTTGCTGTGGCCCATAGACATCTACATCTATCCTCGTTTGCGAAACAAAATGCAGATACGTTGTCACCCGAATTAACTGCGCTAATATTGATATAAAATTTATTTCAATATTAGTCAGAGGGAATTCCGATCAGAAAAACAGACTATTGTTTACCGTGGTGGAGCCACGCTGTAGCTTCTCTCTCGACCGGCGAAGAACCACGCTCTCACAGAATATCAGCGTTAAACAGACATCTACATTGATCCTCAAATAAGAATGAGGATTAAGATGAAATGCCTTATTTCCAGTAAAAAGGCTGTTCTTGTTCTCTTCAATTTATTGTTTTATAATAATTTACTGCGCCTAGCCTGCGCTACGAGCCACACTGGTAGATGTCTATGGGCCACAACATTCACTAGCGTCAGGTGGACTCGGTGCTTGTTTGTCATTCTTACTTCTATAAAGAAAACCTCCCTAATACACCAGATATATATGTTTAGTAGTTTCTATGCTGCTGTGTTTAGTATGAGTGTAGAGAACCGAAGAACCATTGCATTGGAAACGACGCATTCCATTTTATTCCTTAGGGGTGATAACGCATCTGCATTTTGATTTATAATCGAAAGCAGATGTAGATACATATGGCCCACAGCATCTACTTACCATCAGGTGGACTGTATACTCGTTTGTCAGTTATTTTATAAAATAAATACTTTATAACAGATTGGTGAAGAACATATTGACAAGGTGCAATATTCCGCAGGTGCTGTGCGGTGCAGTGGCGGGCGCAGGCGAGCTCATGGGCGACGTGGTGGGCAACGCGAGCCGCGTGCGTCGCGCTCAACCGCATCACTCCCACCGCGTGCTGTAAGTCACCGCTCTAACGTAACCCACACCGTAATATAAACGGCGGCACGGAATGTGGCCCAAACGCACTATGAGTTTTATTATCAAGATGAACCGCGATACGGTTAATTTTTATCTTTGAAAATTTTTGTTGTTTATTCAAATCTTAAATGAAAATGGTTAATAAACATTTTTTTTATTAAATAACAAAAAGACATTAAGCACTAAATTTAACAAATGTTTATTAATGAATTTAACAAATTAAAGCTAACAGTAACTAACGTGAGTAGCGGGTTTTTCCACCTCTGGTCCTGATAACCGCATGCATATGATCAGGCATGCTGTGGATGAGGTTTTTGATATCTCTTTGGGGTATTTCTTCTCAGGTGGCCACCAGAGCGGTTTTCAGTGCACTGAGATTGTCTGGAGGGTTGAGATTGGATCGGGTGCGACGTTTAAGCATGTCTCAAACATGTTCTATGGGATTCATGTCTGAAGTTCGTGTTGGCCACTCCAATTCTAAAATTATCACCTCCGAAAGATAATCATTAACGCATCGTGCGGTGTGTGGTCGGGCATTATCTTGCATTATCTTAAATTCTTTGCCCCCAATAAATTCCACGTAGGGTAAAACATGATCATGGAGGATCTCTTCAATATATCGCACTGCCGTTACACGACCTTCAACTACCACTACCTCTGTACGTGCATCTGTACTGATCCCTCCATAAACCATTACGGATCCACCATGAATACTTACGGTTTGCCTGGTGATGATTGGCAGAAACCTCTCTCCAAGCTTGCTCCACACGCGTTCACGGCCATCTGGAGCTCTTAAGGCTACTCTGCATTCATTGGTCCACCGAACTTTACTCCATTGCTCATGAGTCCAATTTGTATGCTCGCGAGCGAACCGAAGTAGAACTACGCGATGATGCCGGAGCAGTTCCGGACCTCGTGCTGGTCTTCGAGAACGCAGGTCCCGTTCTACCGTTCTCCTTCTTATCGTCCGCTCACTAACGTTGACCCCTCTTGCCGTTTGCAGACACTGCCTTAATTCAACCGCAGTAAGGAACCGATTTCTCAATATTGCGAGGATGATAAATGGGTCATCCTGCGGTGATGTACACCTGATTTAGTTCACTGTTTCACTGTTTTACATATACTATACCGATCTAGTGTGTATATAGTCTGTTCGTTTAGATACGGTTGCCTTTGTGTCGCGCCGTCTTGGCACGTGCCGCATCTTGTCAAAGGCGCCGCGCCGCCGCGACATCAAAGGTCGCTGCGTGCGTCGTACACTCGCAGGAGAATTTGGCATTTTAAAACGAAGCACCGTAGTGAAAGGTTCTTTGCTACCAAACTTGGGTTTATTATTTACATTCGTATTTAATTACAATAAACGTACAAATAAAATAGTATTCCATTTATTTTAGAATAGAAAAACATTTATTTAACAAACAACAAAAATAATAAAATAAAAGCAAAATAATAAGTGCGCCTCCAGGTGTACCAACATTATCTTAGTGAACAGACTATATGTATACTATATGTGTACACCCCACACCCAGCCGCACCAATTACAGAGAAATGGCAGCCGTGAGGCCCTAATGTCTAATAGCAACTTTCTATTACATCGTAGATCCAGGTCCTTCTAAAGCCCATTTCTATCAGCCCGTTGAAGTCCACTTCTTTTCATGGTCCTCTTCTACTGTAAAGAGGATTTGCCTTGATAGTCATGCTTGGCAGGTGGAAAGACAACGTCTTTAACTCTGCTTCCTGTACCTATTCTGAGTACTTAACGACAAAATAAAATGGGTCTCCATGTCTCATCACTCACCGTGTTGCTGCGATAATACGCTGCTCTACCGGGTAAAGTTTCTGCATCTGCTTGCGATAAGTTGCGATTTCACGTTGTAGAGTCACGCTGCAACTATGTTCTTCATTGTAGCACGAATGGGTCGGCTCTATCGAGGAAGGACCACGCTCTCACAGTATACCATCGTAAATAGCAGCTTAATACTGCCGTCTTTCTTATGGCGAGTGTAGTGAACCGGAGACCCTCTTTTACTAGATACGAGGTATTCCATCTCAATCCTCAGGTATGACAGCGCATCTGCATTTTGATTTATAATTGAGGATAAATGTAGTTGTCTATGGCTCAGAGCATTCACTTACCATCAGGTGGACTGTGTGTTCGTTTGTCACTTATATATATGGGTCGGCTTGACCGGAGTAGGACCACGCTCTCACAGAATATCAGTGTAAAATAGCAGCTTAATGCTTCTGTGTTTCTAATGGTGAGTGTAGAGAAACGGAGACCCATTTTGCTGGAAACAAGACATTCCAACTTAGTCCTCTGGGGTGACAACGCATTTGAACTTTTATTCTTAGTTGAGGATAAATGCACATGTCTATGGGCCACAGCATCCACTTATCATCAGGTGGAGTGTGTGCTCGTTTGTCACCTAATTCTATAAAAAAAAAGTATACTTTAATGCTTTTATTACTATACAAGCTGAAATACAGCAGTAGGTGTATTGTTGTTTAGCGGCAGAAAAAGGTAATAGCACGGTACTAAGAACTAACCAAAGCCGTAGTCGTGGTAGTGTAACTGAATCCAAATTGAACCATTTTGTACCATGGGTGTCGTAAGAAGCAGTATGGTAAATGCCAGAAGAATTTCACGCTTTTAGATAGAGGATGGTATAGAATCTCGTTTTCGCCAGACGTAAAATGCCCGGACCGGAACGGGCAGCAGCCTCGAAGGTGTTTACGTATGGTACTGCGCTCGTCAAGCCACCTTCCAAGCGTGATTATTAAGGCAATTCTTACAAAGGGACCCATGTCCAGTACTGGACATTTCGTCCTGATGTAGGGTAACACCAATCACAATAGACACCTAGTAAACTCATTTTTTAAGGGTCATTTGTCACCCTTAAAAAATGAACGATGAAGAAGCACACAGTCCACCTGATGGTTAGTGGCCGCTATGGCCCATAGACATCTACATCTATACTAGATCAAGAATCAAAATGCAGATACCTTGTCACCGCCGAGGACTAGAGAACGTTTCCAGTGAAAAGCGTTTCCGGTTTTCTACACTCACTATACGAAATACAGAAACATTAAGCTGCAACTTTACGCTGGTATTCTGCGAGAGCGTGGTCCTCCCCTGGTCGAGCCGACTTCATTCGTGCTACAACCATACTACTTGCTGCAGCATGGTTCTTCCACGTATAACACTTTAACAGTTATTGATTAAATTTTACAAATGTAAAAACCAATACTTAAAACTTTCAGAACGGAAGAGGAGATGGACGCGACGACCGCTTGGAAGCGGTCGCACTGGCGAGAGATGCAGTCCATCCTCCGGCGAGAGGGCTCGCAGAAAGACGAAGTCGAGTGCTGCCCCTCGGTCGTCGAGATGGTGGAGACGAAGGGTGGCAAAACACCCTCCGGCCTCTACGTGGAACTGTACAAGGACGGCGAGAACACACAAAGACTTTACGAACTTTCATGTGCACCTGGCGTCAAGGACATGCCGTGTCGTTTCGTTGACGCGCGTCTCTACAACCACTCGAAATGCGTGCAAAAATATTCGTATTCCTACGCGTTGGTCCGTTATACCACCGAGGTGCCCCACCGGCATCGGAACGAGGGCCACTTCTCCGTCCCGGGCGGGTGGTCCATGGACTACGTTATAGTTCGCGCCGGTTGTGAGTGCCAAATTAAACCGCCTAACCGTAAGTCCGCGCATCGGAAGCGTCTAGAACGACACAGAAATAGGAAGAAGAACAGAAGGTTGGAGGAGGACGACGCCAGTGAACCGTTTGGACTTTGAACAAATTCACGGAGTACACCCGGTTTAGTTTAGTTTTGTTGTGACGTGTCGTTTCCAAAATAAGCCGAATAATAAAATAACTCTTCAAATATAATTGTGAATCAAAAATACTCGTAAACGGTGGAAATAAAGCTCCTTTAGAGTATATTAGTCAGCTATCTACCATAGTTTTCATAAGTGAGCAGGTTACCAAAGTAATAATCAAAATCAGTCCTTACAAACGGCTCTTAGGTTGTTTCTTATTTATGTACCAGCAATGCGGGGCCGCTTTATCGAGATCTTATCGATATCGATACCACTCTACATCTCTTGATTTGTCGACATTATTCAACGCGGCGTGCGACAACTTTGGTAATATCGTGAAACAAAGTCGGAACTGTGATTAACCTATATTTACGATATATGGATGTACGTATAAATTTATTACGAACAACTTTACATGAATGCAAGTGAACATGCAATACAAATTTGTCGCGAGGGGGCCTATAATAATTATATAATATTTTTTATTTAGTAATGTATCAACCCATTTATAACTAAATATGTATACATTTCGAATTGAAGATAATCAATCATAGAAATATTATACACATATACACTACACTTTTTATTCAAAACTGGCGATCCGCCCTGGCTTCGTACGGGTGATTTATGGATCTCAACAGCAGCGCCACCTACCGGGTCCAATTGTGAATCTAAGGCATCCAGGGACCCACTCAAATACACACAAAATTTCATCAAAATCAGTCGAGCCATTTTCGAGTTTTAGTGAGACTAACGGACAGCAATCGATTTTTATATATAGAGAGATATAATAATAAAAATAATTATTAATAATTATTTTTAACATTTAGCTTCCCATGCATCATCCCCTGCAAGTACTTTAAAAATGCTTGACATTGGCTCGTTTAGATATATTACGCCCAACTTATGTTGCGTTGTTTTCTCACCGACTAATCAAGAAACTACCAAAATCTAAATTCATAATCACTAATGAAGACTATATAGCGCGACACGACACGGCACAACAATAAATATCAAACGTTACCGATGCTAGAGTCAGGAGTAACTATCGGTAGATGTATTTATATGTATTTATTTTTGGAACCCACTTCTATACTATTATATATTACGCTTCTTGCCTCAACTACGGTCCGAAGCAACGCCTTGTATGTGCCTTATCGTCTAACAGCTAATATATGCCAAGTTTATTGAATCGCATAAAATTTTAAGTCAAATGCTATGGGTATCTTCCCTATATAATTACTATAAAATTAAAAAAAAGTCTGACGACACAACATTGCAGTTTAAAATTAAAAAATTATAAGTGTATTCACATGGGTTTTATTAAACTTTTAAAAATCCGTTACAATTTCAAAAACAAAATATCCATGTTTAAAATTATACCTACTTGGGACTATAATAGTTTTTAAAAATAGTGCCAAAATCACAATTTTAAATTGTAAAATGTAGTAATCCGAAATAACTCTTAAAATACAACTTTGATAAATATAGCAAATAGAATGTAAGAGTACAAATTCAGTTATTTCAGGATTTTAATTAAACATATCAGATATAGATTTCATAGAAATCAAAATGTATTAATCTATATTAAAGATAATTATACAATGTTGTACTAAACAAAAGGCGTCGGTTTAAAAACTAAAATTTACATTCTATAGATAACTGGAAATGCACTGCATTCGAATTCATAACGTTTATATAAAATATTAAGTGTTTTGTAAAATAGTTACCGTTATGTTTGATGGAAAAGCGTAACCAACACTTATTTCTTCGGACATCACTATTTGAAATTTTAATGTACTATTATTTATGTCTCATTAAATGACGTAACAGCGTTTACCGGCAATAGTTATTCAAATAACTCAATTAAAATGCAAAATATATTATCAGGATATTTATTGTAATGGCTTGTTTATTAAATAATTTATACAAATTATGAACAGTTAAGAACTAGTGAGGAAATTTTTGACGATATTTTAGTAAAATACAGATAATAGCTGTTACAGACAATAAACAATGGCTGTTTGATAGTATAACCTATGGTTGACTATTCCAATATTACATTATTTTATCTGTGACTTTATTTGATATGCAAAATAGTGATGTCCACATAGGGTCGTTCCACTGTATGTAATGCTCTCTTATTACCTTTTTAATTTAAGAGTATTTATTCAAAGATAACATTTTATAATTTTGGTCATATTGTAACAGTACTTACTTTTAGGCATATAAGTACGTCGAGTCAAAGATCTGTATTATTTTCTATTTTGTAATACTTTTAATGTATTTAATTTTAGTTTAAGTATTAATACATTTATTTATACTGTTTAATAATACGAGGTATTCCGATATTCAGTATGGATTTTAGTTACGTAGGAATCGCTTCTGTAAACTTTTAATCGATGTATATAGTAACACAATAGTATTGTGGACTGAGATTATTTTACGCATTTACGTGTAAAGAAATATTAAACATGAATGACAAACTTTTATTCGACAAAGAACTGTATACACAGCGCCATCTACCGTTGAATAGCGATAACTAATAATATATTACAATATAACGCTAAATATTTCAAAATATTGATAACGTTTGGAACCGTGCCATATGCGTAATAAGTGAGATATTTAGATAGAATTGCGAATAGAAGTTTGTTATTACGCGTGATATAGTCCTGATACACGTTAAATAAGTCCTCGTACTTACTATTGTAAGGTTCTTCGCTGCCATATTCACAATTTGGGGCTTGGTACAATGATAACATGGTTTGGTTTATAAGAATTTTTAATATTTTAAATATGAAAAAACTCAGTCGTTTCTAAAACATTCTTACAGTCAATTTATTAAAATAATTAAGTAAGCATCGACATTGTTGAAAATATCTTGTAAACTATTTTTATATGTATTTTTTTTTTACAATAAGACAAACCAAACTGTGGGTTCGTAGGTCCAGTCATCACAAACACTAATGTAAAATATTGTTGACATCAAAATCAGACACAATTAAAATAAAATTCTGAAATACAGAAATGTTTTATTGTCACTCAAACTACCTCAAATATAAACCTTACTTACTGATATCTTTGATATCTATTAAACTATGTTATGTTATATTATCTTTAAACTGCATCATGATCTGAAACAAAAAAAATATTTTTGTTGAGAAATTCAGTCTGTAATGAAATACTATACAATTTTGGCCAAATAACTCATAAACCATACTATTATTTATGTAAATTTAGTTTACAAAGTAAAGTTACACACAGTGTCTTTGTGAATATTTTATTCCTTCAACATTGACTTTCCTTACGATTTTTTACTTCATCGCTTAAGACGTGTTATTTTTTGTGTGTTAACTACCTCACTGAGGTGTTATTTGACGTGGTAGAGCCATGCTGCAGCTATATTAATAGTATTGATAAAGCACGAATGGTTCGGCTCGACCGGGAAGGACCACGCTCTCACAGAAAACCAGCGTAAAGTAGCAGCTTAACGCTGCTGTGTTTCGTATGGTGAGTGTAGAGAACCGGAGACCCCTTTTACTGGCAAAGAGTCCATCTTAGTCCTCACGGGTGTCAACGCATCTGCATCTTGAGTCTTTATTGAGAATAGATGTAGATGTCTATGGGTCACAGTAACCACTTACCATCAGGTGGACTGTGTGCTCGTTTGTCACCCTATCCTATATAAAAAAAAATTGCACTCAAAAATTGAGCTACCACAACTTTTTCTGATTCATCTAAACAGTTTTTATATAAAATATTTTTTTTGATATAGAACTAGCTGAAAGTGCAAGGCTTGTAAGTTTGTAATGGCTCGCCAATACGTATTATACTTTGTAATGGCTCGCCAATACATATATACACTCGCAAATAAATAACATTTAAAAAACAATTGTTCTGCAAAAAATATATTATTGACCTTGGCCAGACCATAGGTCTGACTAAGTTGGACCAAAACTATGTCGGAACCTGAGAGATAACCTCCGACATTTTTCCATCAAGTTATGCTCCATTCATAATTCATAATCAGCGACATCTAACATGTCTAACGTGGTACTACTGCAAAGTATTTTTTGTAGTCCGTACAGATGGCGTTAGTAATACAATAAAAATCTAATTAATAAAAATTGTTATAAAATAATATTTTTATGATTGATAACACATCTAGACATGAATCGAAAATACTACGTCAAAGCGCAAACCTTAAAGTGTGATTAGTTTCTCTGTAAAGTATACCACTAAAATGCATAGATTGTGTGATAGTGCAGGGCTCCATTTGCTCGCCCTGATAAGGGTGACAAGCAAGCATACAGTCCACCTGATGGTAAGTGGTTGCTGTGGCCTATAGACATCTACATCTATCCTCAATTACGAAACAATGCAGATGCGTTGTCAGCCGTGATGGTAAAAAGGGTCTCCGGTTCTCTACACCCACCATACGAAACACATCAGCATTAAGCTGCTATTTTACGCGGGTATTCTGTAAGAGCGTGGTGCTTCCCCGGTCGAGCCGACTTATTCGTGCTACAGCCATAATATAGCTACAGCGTGGCTCCACCACGTAAACGTGAACGAGACGGTTATCTACTTACCTAAGTAAGTCGTAGTCAAGTACATCAGCGCGAAGCCGACGGTCACTGCAGCCAATTGTGCTATGCCCGCTATCCGTTTCCGCTCGTGCCACGTCGCCCGCTCCCGCGGGAGCACTTCGCTCACCGTCACATATAGGAGCGTGCCGGCCGCAAGTGCCTGGAAGTGACGCTCGATTTAATATTATATAACCGTTACCGTTACAGCCTAATAAAGTCCACCGCTGAACATAGGCCTCCCCTATAGAATATCATATAAAGACGATATTTGACGGAGTTGCCACGTTTGGCAAGCGGGTTGGCAACCCAGGTTTTTTAAGTCGTTGTTAGGAAGACGCTGCTGCCATGTTCTGCAGCCTATGCTGTAAAAAAGATTAGAGGTCTCACTAGTGTCGAGACAGCTAGATTAGTTTATTTTAGTTATTTTCATAGCATAATGTCTTATGGGATTTTGCTATGGGGAAATGCGGCTGATTCAGAAACTATTTTTGTTTTACAGAAGAGGGCCATTAGAGCTATTTACAATCTAAAACCGAGAGAGTCTCTTAGAGATAAATTTAAAGAAATTAATATATTAACTTTGGCCTCTCAGTATATTTACGAAAATTTAATGTATGTTCACAAAAACAAAGATAGTTTTAGTAAAAGAAGTGATATACATTCTGTAAACACTAGGAACAAACACAAGCTAGTGATACCAGTTTCTCGTCTCCACAGAGTCAGTAATTCATTCTTGGGGCAATGTATACGCTATTACAACAAGGTCCCGGAAAGTGTACAGGTTCTCTCTATTACCAAGTTTAAATGTTTTATTAAGCTGAAACTGTATAAAAAGGGTTATTATAGTATAAATGAATACATGGTTGATAATAACCCCTGGGAATGAGGTGATCGCTTCCAAGCAGTTTCTAAAATAAATTTTGTAAATAGTTCCTAATCATTTATATTGTAAAATTTATTTAAAAAAAAAGTCCCGCTGGGTTTCTTGCTGGTTCTTCCCAGGACAGAGGTTTTTTTCGAACCAGTGGTAAAGTAAAAAATGACTTTCAATAAGAATTACACATGTAATGTATATTGAATAAAAATATATTCTATTCTATTCTATTCTATTCATGCCCATCGCCCTCTATCGCCTCTTACGACACAAACGGGATGATATAGGGTAGTGGATATTCTTACACCGTCACTATACGGTAAAAATAATAATTAAGTATATTGTAGTTGTAAAAACGTTGTTGTCGACGGCTCAGTGGCGCAGTGGCTTAACAACGAGTTGTTGCGCTGGGATTGAATCGCACACGGATCAAGTATTTGTCTGGCCTACAAATAATTGTTCCGCGTCTGGATATTTGTCCCCGTGCGATTTATGTTTGTAAACTGCCTCCACGACACAGGAGAAAATCCTAGTGTGAAGGTAACGATTTTAAAAAGAAAGAAAAGAAAAAAATTACCTACCTATATTATTTATAATGTGATATGGTTTCTTGCTGGTTCTTCCCAGGTTTTTTCCGAACCAGTGGTAAAGCTTAAATGACTTTCAAGAAGTATTCTTACAATCTATATTGAATAAAAAATATTTATTTCTATTCTATTCTAATCATCACCTTACTCCATCCAGCCTTTAAATAAACCTCTGCTGCTGTCTTGTTCTTGAATCCCATAATTGAGACCTTTACCGTTCTACAGAAAAGTAAAAAGAATTTTTTTTTTAATAATACCTGCATAATAGGCACCGCGATGGAGTCCTTAATCGAGCCGATGGAATCCACGCCAGCCCCGATCCCGATCCCCACCACCGAGCCTCCACTGAACAGCAGTATGCATGTGATATGCATGCACAGACGACCAGCAAACGTCGCGCAGAGCTCCACACCAAGACAGAAGCCAACTACGTACTTGTGGCTAGCTACTGCAGCCAGGAGCAGCAGAACCTGAAAATATTTTGAATGTCTATCAATATTCTATAAAATAGCGATCAATATTCTAAATAATTGCCAAGCAAGGCAGGCGAGTTGGCAGCCTCAGTTTTTTTTTAAATTATTTTGAGTTGTTACGCGATAGATGCTGATGCAAATCTCCAGTTTCAATTTCACTGTGTCGCCACCTATGTGTTAACGTCACCCATGGCACTATATGATATGCTACGATCTAAAGAATAATTTGTAAACAATATAGCACGGAATACGGCTTTATCAAGAAACGCTGATCGAACTCCATCATAACTTTGTACAACAATGGAAGCCTCTTAAAATTACAAAGCAATTTTTTTTTCAACTTTAGGCTGCGCTTTCACCAGAGTTTTCTTTCACCAGTTTGTGAGGAAGCTGTGTCAGGAGGCGTTTTAGGACTGTGAAACGGTGTAACAACGGTGAGACAGATGTGTAGCGGACTCTTTTTCACTAATACCGTACACCCGTACATATATAAATTCTCACGCCTGTCACACAGAGGGGGTAGGTAGTATCTTTCATTCACATCGTACTTTTTAGTTTCTTAAAGTTAGTTTTTTATTTTTTTTTATTTAATGACCTTTTTGAAAGGACTACGGTATAACAAAACATCAAAGTAAGAACTAGAATATCGTATATAGTTACAAATAAAAATATCATCACTTATAATGATTTCTTATATTTACGCGAACACTACACATTTAAATAAAACTAATTTTACTGATTTTATCGCGTATATTAACTTATTTTATATTCCCGACGTTTCGAGCACTTTACAACACCCATGGTCACGGGGGGACTGAGGTGTATGACGTCCCACGGGAACCTCCAGATTAAAAATTATTAATTTTTGTTCCGATCTACGCAATATGAACTTACAGTATCTTGAAGTCTTGCAGTTGTATGCTTGGGTTAGGATTTAATTTTATTAATTATGGGATCCCAAGCAGAGATGGCTGGGTGCTACCATCCCATATTTGATATCCCATAATTAATATCTGTCTGGTGGTCTTTTCCTATTTTAATTTAGTCAAAAGAAAGAGAGAAGCTTTTAGGATTTCTTACAAGTCCGATTCAAATTAACGCCTATTTATAAAAGTGAAAAATGATAAATGTGCAACTAGCGATAGACAACATTTTATCGGAACTGAATTTGAAGGTGTAAGAAGAGTTTTATTAAAATAAATATTAATAATAATCTCCTCGACCGATTTCGGCCACGGCGACCTCCTCAGCTCCGATCTTGTCGTTGGTGTGCTCGTGCATGGCTAACGTAGCCGATCTTATTTACAAATGTTCGCGTGCAATGCGGGCAGGTGAGCACACCATTACAGAAATTATAGTTAATCGCACAAGGTGGGCGTGCTTTGAGTTCATCACGTCGGGCGTCCAATTCAGAGCATCGATTCTCCTCAAACATTTTGACCTTGGCTTTCACCAAAGATCTCCATTCCGGTCGTCGAGCGGCTGCTTGCTCCCACTCTGAAGGCTCAATGTCGCACTTCGTCATGTGGCGCTTAAGTACATCTTTGTACCTGAGAAGTTGTCCGCCATGCTTACGCTTGCCCTTCTCAAGTTCAGAGAAAAAGATGCACTTAGCCGTACGCTGATCTGACATTCGCGATAAGTGTCCACACCAACGGAGTTGTCGCCCCATAAGGTAGGCTTCAATCCCCATGGTATAGGCTCTACGCAGCACTTCCGTATTCCGAATGCGATCAGACCAACGGATGTTGAGAATTTTGCGCAGACATTGCAAGTGGAAGCGATCCAGCGTCCGTATATGACGGCGGTAAACTGTCCATGACTCTGAAGAGTACAGTATGTTAGGCAGCACTACCGCCTTATAAATACCAATTTTGGTAGCCAGCTTTAGGTCATGTGAGCCAAAGACCTTGCGATCCAGTTTACCGAATACCGCAGCCGCGGCACCGATTCGACTGTTGATTTCAGCATCAAGGTCACACTTTGATGTTATCGTGCTCCCCAGATAACGAAATGTATTGATCTGCTTAAGTATATCATCACCGAGTTTGACGGCCAGTGTCTCTTGACCGTAGATATCTAAAGACATCACTTCCGTCTTTTTAACACTTATCTTCAGACCAAAAATACGGCACGACTCATGAAAGGTGGTCACAAGCTGTTGCAGGCCAGCTGGGGAATCGGCCACAAAACATAAATCGTCTGCGTAGACGATCTCTGTAATAAGTGCGTAAGACACTTTCGTACGGGCCTTAAGTCTAGCTAAGCTGAAAAGATTGCCATCGTTGCGGAAACGAATGCGAATTCCATCATGGGTAGTTTTTAAGACTTCCTGGACTACAACTGCAAAGTATAACGCGAAAAGTGTGGGTGCAAGGACACACCCTTGTTTTACTCCACAGGTAACGGGAAAAAATTCTGACTGATCAGCGTTTACAGCGACGCAGCTCTGCATGCCATCATGCAGGAGTCTCAGAAGTCTCACAAACTTCTCCGTGCATCCAATTTTCCGCAGCACTATCCAGAGGGCTTCACGTGGTACACTATCGAATGCCTTCTCAAGGTCTACAAAACAGAGATACATATTACGACCCTGTTCTCTGCTTTTTTCCTGTAGTTGACGTAATGAGAAAATCGCCTCACAGGTACCACGGTCAGGTCGGAAGCCGAACTGGGATTCCGGCAAAATCCTTTCAGAAAGTTTCCTGAGGCGGTTTAAAAGAAGTCTGGCGAAGACTTTTCCAGGCACTGAAAGTAGAGAAATGCCACGGTAAGAATTGCAGTTTGACCGGTCACCCTTGCCTTTATATAGGGGTCGTATGAGGGATACCTTAAAAGTATTAGGGACTTGTTCTTTTTCCCACATAATGACAAAAAGTTCCCATAACGCTGAATACAAATCCCCACCGCCATACTTCAATAATTCACCCGGTATAAAATCAACACCAACCGCGCGTTTATTTTGCTGTTGCTTAATGGCAAGAGCAACCTCGCCAGGCGAGATTGGCTCATCTAACTCGAGGGCGAAAGGTTGTTGAGGTAGGCAGCGAACGTGGTCTAGGTCAACAAAATGATCCACGTTAAGTAGGGTGTTAAAATGCTCCGCCCATCGCCCGAGTATTTCCTCCCTGCTTTTAAAAAGCGCTCCACCACTAGTTGACTTCAGTGGAACTTTTGCCATAGAGGACGTACCGAGTAGATGTCGCACCTCAGCATAAAACTCACCGAGCTGGTTGGTATCAGCGAGCCACTGCATCTGACGAGCCTTCTCCTGCCACCACTTGTCTTTCGCTTGTCGTGCGAGTTTACGCAGCTCCAGATCACTTTGACGCAACTCCATAGCACCTCCACTCTGATGAGTTCTACTGTGCTGCTTTAGGAGCCTACGGTGTTTATCAATAGCGCCTGTAAGTATCCCATTATTCTCATCAAACCAGTCCTCATGTTTTCGAACTCTCAAACCCAAAGTAGATTTAGCAGTGTCGAGAACACAAGAAGATAGAGACTCCCAGACAACATCGATCTCACCTAATTTTAGATTGAGGGGCTGCAGAGCAGTGTTCAAGGTTTCGGCATATTTAGCCTTCGTGTTAGTATCTTGGAGTCGTTCGAGGTTCAGACGTATCTGTTTAGATCTTCCCACTCTACAAGGAGGTGGAAGACGAAGATTTAATTTAATAATAACAAGCCGGTGATCAGTCCAACAATGAGCACCACGCATGACACGGGTGACTTGGACTTGAGATATGTCTTTTTGACGCACGATGGCGTAATCGATAAGGTGCCAATGTTTCGATCTGGGGTGCATCCACGTTGCCTTGTACTTGGCAGGCAGTCTGAACATAGTATTTGTAATTGCAAGATCCAATTGTGCACAAAGACTAAGCAACAATTGGCCGCTGCTGTTCATTTTACCAACACCATGTCTGCCGAGAACTTTAGGCCAGGCGTCATAGTCTCGTCCTACTCGGGCGTTAAAGTCGCCCATGAGAAGGATTTGCTCTCTTGGACGAATACGATTTACGCACCGCGTCAATTCTTCGTAGAATTTATCCTTAATATCATCAGACTTGTCCAGCGTAGGGGCATAGACACTGATGATATTAAGATAGCTTTCACGTTCCATGTGAAGGCGCAATGTGGTAATGCGGTCCGAGATGTGTACAGGGTACTCTTGCAGTTGAGCAGCAAGGTAGTTCTTGACAGCAAAGCCTACACCCGACCTTCGCGGCTCCGAGGAAGCGAGTCCTTTCCAAAAGAAAGTATACCCGCCGCCATATTCTACCAGCTCTCCTTCCTCGGGGAGGTGTGTTTCGCTGAGTGCAGCCACATCAATATTATAGCGACTTAGTTCCCGAGCTACAATGGCAGTTTTTCGCTCAGGGCAGGCATTTGCTTCGCGGTCAAGAAGTGTGCGCACATTCCACGCGCCAAATGTCATTGATTTTGATAAATTAAATTTTCCATTATTTTTCCTGTAGCGCCGACCGCGAATTTATGATGCGGAGGCAGCCGCGGTTGCTACCATCCTAAAGGGGTTGGAGTGAGCATTTGTTTAGGGCACCTTTTCTAGCCCCCTCCCCGTCTGAGCGAGGAAAGCAGTGCCTCCCTGAATAGGGCTGCTTTGTCACCTTGGGTGCTGCCGAGTCCGCTCTGTCACCTCGTTGCAGAGCAGAAGCGACCACGATGTACACTACACCCCCAAGACCGCCTACGTGCAGGAGTCAGACAAAACTCAACGGGCATCACGTCAAGCCTCTCTACCTCCTCCCATCGCCGTAGGACATTGGTTATAGATCGGAGTCCTATTTGGAAGCAGGTCAATTGCGCAGGACATATTAACGTGCACAAGTGTACGCGCGGACACAGGTGCACATACTCGTCTTTGCCCCTCTGGACCCAGTGGAACGGAGACCGTTACGACCGGAGAGGGACTCGGACAGATGGAACAGTAGGTATATCAGTGAAAAAGGTACAGGGGTTCAGTCCTTTTCCAC